AAATCATTGTTTTTGTGATACATTCGCATTGTATGCCTGAATATAATGAACAAACCAATCAATCATTATATAAATGAATTGATTTGAGTCTCAGATATTGATTGATTGCAAACTCAGAGATAAGAAGTGCCGTAAGACTACTCATACTATAAGGCACTACAGTATAGTATCCTATATTAGACTATCACTGATATAACCGTAAGAATTGTGATCAAAATCAATGAGAAATCGATTAGAAAAACAAAACTTTAATACAATTATAATTACCATAGCTTTTAGTGAAGACAAATGCAATGAGAAATAGTGTCAAACATATCATATTTGTTGATTGGATAACATGTTAAGTCATCAAACAATTTGAAACTTTTGATATGAGAGTAAACAACAAATTATATGAAATAACACAACGATGTAAGCGATCGTCAAAAAAGTTTTACACACTTTTGTATTGAAGTTTTATTTTCACTCCCGATCTTAACATTAAGTTTCAAAACAACTTTACTTTTCACATGTAATAGTAATCACAATAATTGTCATCATTTGCTCTCATTTTCATAATTTCAATACATTACTGTTAAGACATTGGAGTATTGATTTAAGCATGCACATTTACACAAATGCCATGAATTTGAATCACAAGTATAGCTGTCATTGGATTACATTCATAGCCAGCAATGCACTCAAATTGATTTGAATATCAATTGAATTTCACTTTTATTTAGACTTTCACTCAAATATAATGAATAAAAATGATATTTAATGTATAAGTTGTTAAATATTCAAACTCATTGTGGTAATTATTAGATGTGTATTCAATGAATATTAAATATTATTAATGAATGAGTGTATAAATAATGAAATATTAGAAATCATAGGTCCGTGAAATGAGTTGCAATCAGTTGTTTTAATTAAGGCATAGATTATAATTGCATTTATAATGTTGTGTTATTTAGAGGCAGTTTTGAACAGCAAATGCTTATTCACTGAATGGTCTCAAACACAACACCACTCTATCTGTAGGTCTAATGGTTTACATCCTATTAAAGCATTCACTCGTTTAGACACACAGTCTGTAAACACATTCCCATTCAATGCATTCAAAAGTGTCAGTATAATTACAACTTATAATTAAATTATGTTTAGCATTAGATTCTGAACTCTATTTAGAACTTAAGAAAACGCTTTCAGAGGGTTTTGTCGAAAGTTTTATGTTAACAATTGTGTCGATTCGGACTGTCGTCACAATAGTTATATAATATTAATGGTATGAATGGTAGTATAGAATTGCAGACAATGTATGGCACACTCACCCAACTGTTCCAAGTAGTCGGCACAACAAGGCACCAGATTATTGATGGGACAGTTAGCGTCTAATTGTCTTAAACAACATAACTGTTTGGCTATACATCGGCCGTCTTCGCAGGAGATCTTGTTATCGCACGGATTCACTCCTAAATTCAAACCAAAAATACATTTGACTTTATTTTCGCCAAACTCTGCACTAGTCTTAGGTTTCTCTTTCATATCAAAACGTGGACTTAATATCGGATTTTATGGCTTTAGATAATAAAGAAGCGAAAAAAGACAAAATTGGGTTACAGATAGAAAAGAAGTCGTTTTTGATTCTTTCTCTCTCTCTCTCTCTCTCTCTCTCTTCCATCTCATGAAACAGAGATCGGAAAACAAGATAACGGTTTCAGTTGTCGTCATCTTATAGTCTGAAGAAGTGCTCGAAATAATGCTTTTCTCTCTATATCTCAAACTAACGGTTATATTATAAGACAAGAATTACTTCACATTAGCTTTTATTGTTTAACTTCCGATTTGTCTCTCAAAAAAGACTTATTATTATAAAAAATAATAAAACAAAAATAGATAAGAGTTTTACTGTATACCTATTCAAATGAAATGTCAAACAAAAAAGCTGTCAGAACTTAATTACTTTATATAAATAATGAGCTTTTTCACAATTAAATCCACTATAATATGCAAACAAAAACTTCATTAAAAATAGAGCAATAAAAAAATCTGAACACAGTTTCAAACAAAGAATTAATTAATTAATTAAATAACAAAAAGAGACTTTATATAAACAACTAAATAATAAAAAAGGGATTGATTTTTAAAGTAATTAAATAAATGTTTTTGCGATTAATAGCTTAGATCTTACCGCAGAGGTCAGGACTCTCATCCCTATCATTAGGACAGTCGGTAAAGCCGTCGCAAACATATCTCTTGGGAATACAGAGTCGATTCCCACACGAGAAGAATGTATTGGTTGGACAGTCGCCGATGTGTTCGGCCTGAATGGTCACGTATATTGACTTATGTATGGGGGCTGTCGTGTCAAAGGCCTCGCAGTTGTACCAACCCGTGTCGTTCACATGGAGTGGTCTTATGGTAACCGTGAGATTGTTGGGCTCTTCCTCTATATTAACCCTCCCGTGAAGTGGAGCCGAATTGATCGGTAGAGTCACCCGAAGGGGAAAACTATTTCATGGGTTTTCACATTTTGGTTGACAATTGTTTTGACAAGAATTTCAAGTTAGGAACAGTTGAGGCAATACTTTATATTCAAATAAGCGATTAGAGACATTGATTATAGGCTAACCATCACTGGGAGGGCAGATATTGTGTGAAACAGAGTTGGGCTCAAAATAATCTAAATGATACTTTTGTGTCTGAAAATTGCTTTTGAAATAAGGCCTCAATGACTGTCCCTATACTTAAAAAATGCTTAATATATTCACATTTTAGCGTCGGTTGGAATGAGTCGACAGTTGAGGGACAGGGAGTCTCCGACCCTAAAGAATGTTTTACCCGAAGGTGTGATTTGGAGCCTATAGTGAGGATTAGTTGCTATCCATTGCATTGATTTTAGTGAGAAAACAGACAAACAATTCATTCAATTAATTCAGTATTGTTTTTGGGATAAATTGGGATACTTTTCAATTGAATTATAATTTGCATATAAATTGAAATTGTATTTATAGCATAAGAAGTACTGTTATCTCATAAATAATATGCTTCGTGATATATGTCTTAAATTGTTTTTTAATTTAATATTTTTAGTTTTTTATGAAAAAACTATTAACATAAAAATCAAAGTAATAGATAAGAAAAAATAGTTTATTTTATGAATAATTTTTATACACTTTAATCTTAAGATCTTTTATATCTTTAGGATTTAGTAACAAAAACACTATGTAAGCGTAACATACGGACTTATATTACTTGTTTGGTTAGTTAGTAATATATTTACTTAACTAAACTCAGAGTCTATAACTAACTAACGTTTGAGTCTCTATTCTTCAAGTGCCGTAAGACTACTCATACTATAAGGCACTACAGTATAGTATCCTATATTAGACTATCACTGATATAACCGTAAGAATTGGGATCAAAATCGATTAGAAAAACAAAACTTTAATACAATTATAATTACCATAACTTTGAGTGAAGACAAATGCAATGAGAAATAGTGTCAAACATATCATATTTGTTGATTGGATAACATGTTAAGTCCATTCAAACACATCAAACAATTTGAAACTTTTTATGAGTAAACAACAAATTATATGAAATAACACAACGATGTAAGCGATCGTCAAAAAAGTTTTACACACTTTTGTATTGAAGTTTTATTTTTACTCCCGATCTTAACATTAAGTTTCAAAACAGCTTTACTTTTCACATGTAATAGTAATCACAATAATTGTCATCATTTGCTCTCATTTTCATAATGAAACTATCAATACATTACTGTTAAGACATTTGGAGTATTGATTTAAGCATGCACATTTACACAAATGCCATGAATTTGAATCACAAGTATAGCTGTCATTGGATTACATTCATAGCCAGCAATGCACTCAAATTGATTTGAATATCAATTGAATTTCACTTTCATTTAGACTTTCACTCAAATATAATGAATAAAAATGATATTTAATGTATAAGTTATTAAATATTCAAACTCATTGTGGTAATTATTATTAGATGTGTATTCAATGAATATTAAATATTATTAATGAATGAGTGTATAAATAATGAAATGTTAGAAATCATAGGTCCGTGAAATGGGTTGCAATCAGTTGTTTTAATTAAGGCATAGATTATAATTGCATTTATAATAATGTTGTCTTATTTAGAGGCAGTTTTGAACAGCAAATGCTTAGAAGTGACTTACCAGAGTTTGTGTTGTGGTGAGATAGACATCCAGATTACCAAATGTAGGATAATTTCGTAAGTGAGCAAATCTGTGTGTCAGACATTTGTGTAAGGGTAAGTTACGTAAGTTTTCACCATTCAATACTCGCCTCTCAATACGCATGCCTTACATAATGCGTCCAAAAATTACATTACAATCCATACATCCGTACGAAAAGGCATCTCATCTCAACATCTCTTATATCTCTCTCTCATCACTTGTTTTCAATTAAATCCACACTTTGTTTCTCACTCTTGTCTCTTAATATTCACATTTGTCTCCAATTAATCGATACAACAGTTTCTCTAATTATTCTCGTATTACAACTCATTCTCATTCAACAGAATATTGTATTCCACAGAATATTCTCTAATTCCGTACAGAATATGAATGTATGTAATGTTCATATATGTACAGCAAACCATTATTTGTGCCTAATTCGTCATTTTAATTAACAAAAACAAGAATTTAATTGATTTTTATATTATCATTATTTTTAATAATATATTATATTTATTTACTTTATTTAATTATATTTAATATTCAGAACACAACACTTGAAATATTATATACCGAGTGTTTTTCCATTACATTAAACACGGTTATAAAAATATCCTATAAATTATCTAAAATCTTAAGTCAACACAAGTATTATGTGAGAAAAGTGTGCAAATAATAATCCGATCGAAAAAATTGCTTAAAATATAATATTTGTTTATTTTCAAACGAATTATGTTTATATGGAAAATGTCATAAACTTTACAATAAATCAAAAGGAAAATCAATTTGAAGGAAATTATTGTTTTCACTATATTTTTATGGGTTATAAGTTGAAACTTTAAAGTGAAAAAATTCATAAGTTATGAAATGTGTTGGAAATAATGTTTTAGTGAATCCCAAGGTTTGAATGATTTGTAGGATAATTCACTCACAGCTCCGATGGTATTCATTAAAAAATCGATTCATTTTTGACATCATTTTTGATAAATTATGGAAATATTTAGTATTCAATCATTTGACTACCGATGCCTTAAAAGTACAAGAGATTTGTTGGCTTTGAAATATTTACAAATTAATACTACTATCCAATTAAAGCTCAATTCTTTTTGCTATTCTTATTAGTATTCAAATTATTAGTCTTTTTCATTGGTTTCCTTTTCTTGGATCGCAACCTCCTTTTGCCTCCCTTTCCCAATAATCTTCGGACGCCTTTCAGTTGTCCATCGGCTCTATCGGAGGCCCCCATGTCTTTGTTGGCAACAGAGGTTTCCATATCTATTTTCTATGTAAATCAAAATTATACAGCATTTTAGACACTATACATCAAAATTAATCTCTTTATGTCATAACGTAAACAAAAATAGCTTATTTCGTAATTCATTTCACTGAAGTGCTTTATCGGTTTATAAACCCTTTGCATTTGTTTAAAGCCTTGAAATACTAAGTTCATTGACTTAGTTATTAAGTCATAGATAAAGATTTGTAGATAAGATTAACACGAGAAAATTTGTTTGCCGATAGTCAAACAATTGCACACAATTTGTTGTACATGTAATTATAATATTATGAAATGAATTATTCATTAGTAATAGAGTAATAAAATTATGACACATTTAGACACAAAAACAGGGAAATCGTGTTAGAAAGTGTAGTATTTAAGTATATTTTAGTTTACATTGATTTAGAAATTTAAAATAATAAAACTGTTTTTATTTTTAGCATTTAATTTACAATTAAATTTTTAGATAACTTAAACACATGTTAAACCTGTCAATCATTAGTTTTATTTGAAACTTTTAGAATTTTAGTTTTTTCTAGCGTTTCTAGACTTTCTAGTGTTTCTCTGTCTATTCCGTGGTCTGCCTTTAGATACGATAGTAACCTCTCGACTGCCCCGTTGTCTGTTAGGCAATAGGCGCTCGAGTACTCGACTATTAGCCGACCCTTTATTGAAATTTCCAAACTCCTTTCCCTCGTCTATTTCCTGCAAAATAAATCTCCATTTGAATCTGTTTTTCATTTAGTGTTTAGAATTTTAAATTTTAGTATTCGTATACAAAACCCTTTTAGAGAATTCTTGATTGAATTTAGAGAATAAATATTAGATTCAATTGTTAATGTTATTCAGTTTTATAAATTGATTTCAAAGTATAGGAAATTAAGTCAAACCTGATATGTATAGTACTTGGAGTCGTCGTCATCATCATCTTCTCTGTTTCCATACGATTGCCATTAAATGGAAGTTATTTAACATATTGTCCAGTATTTGTAATATGAGTCTCTACTTACCCTTTATGATTTTTGACCTGGATGTTTCCGTCGCCAACAAACAACATCATTGTGTTCTTATTCTCATCGCTGTTATTATCACATCCGCCCCCACAATCGCCTCCTCCGCCTCCACCACCACCTCCAGCACCTTCATTATCATCATCATTATCATTATTTCCATAACCATTCTTATATTTATTATTCCCCTTATTATATCCTCCACCACTACCACTACCACCACTTCCACCATCATTACAATTATCACCACAACCCTGAGGACCTCCACCCCCACCCCCATTATTGCCAAGCATGCTATTAATAATACCGGCGTCACCAAGTTGCTGTTGCTGTTGCTGATCGGCCGCCACATTCTGTTGCCTCAAAGCCCTGACAGTCATAAAAGTAGCCAACTTTGCGGGCGCCGACGCTATCAACGGCACCATCCAGTTCTGGTTGCGGACTATGAACCCGCGGACGGCGTCAATGCTGGACATACCGGTCGCCGCCGGTGTTAAGTCACCGCCAGATTGTAAGAGTTGAGGAATAGTTGTTTCTTGAAGTTTGATGGCATCCACGCTCTGACAGTTCACTACCAAATGGCTGTCATTTATAATTAGCGATACAATCAGTGATCCAATGAGTGGCAGAATTATTAATTTATTGCAATTAATTATCCATTTTTGGCATTTTTCCAAATTTGTTAACATTTTCATGTCTTGGTTAATAAATTACTTTCAAATGTTATAAATCTATAAAAACCTTTAAAATATTTTCAATTAGAAACACTAAAAACTTAAACAACAACTTTAAATCATTATTAACATTAAAATAAACAAGTATAAAAACTTACATTCAAATACTATATGATTAAACAATTCATTCGTTTTCTATAGTCTTTAGTTTTTTGTCTTAAACTATCGACTCTTTCTGTGAAATTCTCATAAAAAACAAAATTATACAAAAATCTCTCTCTTTTCTCGGCTTATATACGACTGAATGCTTGAAATCACAATTGAGTTAAAGGAAAGGCCCTAATAATCATAGAACTGATTGTTATGTATAAGCAAACAGTGATCCATATATTTATGAAATATGGATGAAATGCCGTTAACTCATAAGATCTGAAGACAATTCTCTCAAGATTTCTATCTCTCAATGTTATGACTAACGGAGCCGTAAAAGTAAAACTTGAAAAATACTGTATTTCACCCAATAGTAAAACAAAGCATCGCTTTCCTTATCTTTAGTCTTATCTCTGACCGATTTTTTGACAATTTTTTGTTTCTATTTTAGAGTCCACTTCAACACAGTTTTCACAGTTAGGACAATAAGTGTAAAAGACTTTAATCGATGAAAATTATAATTCACATGTATGTCTACATTTTCTCATTAATTGCAAAAAGAAATTTTTTGATAAGAAAAAAGAGTTTTAACAGTAATTATTTTGATTGTAATCAATAGATCATTGTATTTTAATTGCTGTTTAGATGATTAAAAGTGTTTGTTATTTAAATTAATGCAATAATTCTCTCTCTCTCTCTCTCTCTCTCTCTCTCTCTCTCTCTCTCTCTCTCTCTCTCTCTTT